AATAGATCTGCGCCTGCGCGGGAGGGAGCACTGCAAATGCGCAGCGGGGCTTCACTGTTGCTTCTTAGTTCTGTCTCAGAGATAGTAGGAACTGCAGATGCTGCAGAGACTCTCCCCTCCCCTTACCGCATCCCAAAACCAGTCCAGCTCGTCTCCGCCTCCCTAACCTGTTCTTCCTCCCACCTCAAGCCGCACCCCCATCTCCTACTACTAACCTCATCCCGCCCCCTTGACTTGTCCATCCTCCCTGGACTGACCTATCCCCTCCCTAACTCGCCACCTACACTCACCTTTACTGGCTCCATCCCCGCCTCTTCGACCTGTTTGTTTCCTCTCCTCTATCCATCTTCTATCCGACTCCCCCTCTGTCCCTATTTATTTCAGAACCCCCTTCGCCTCCCCTATTTCTGAAGAAGGGTCTAGGCCCGAAACGTCAGCCTTTCTGCTCCTATGTTGCTGCTTGGCCTGCTGTGTTCATCCAGCTCTGCACCTTGTTGTCTTAGTTCTGTCTCAACCATGTTAGAGAACTGACCAGAAAGTCCTCAGACAAATCTCCAAGTCACACTCATTTGGCAGAAGCTCCTGTCCAGTTATTATTTTCATACCATTCAATGCTGTCCACCCTACACCTTCTAAGGATTGGTTTGCTCAGTTGGCTGGACAGCTCGTTTACAATATAGAATGACACCTCCAATGCAAGTTCAGTTTCTACACCAGCTAATGTACTAGGAAGGTCCTGTCCCACTCCTTCACCAGAATATGTTAACAATTAATCCAAGTTTTTGAGGTCCTCAGTAGTATAGTGGTTAGTATCATGTGGCAGACCAGGAACAAAAACAAAGTTGCTAGAAAAGCTCAGCAGGTCTGGGAGCATCCGTGAAGGAAAAAACAGAGTGAACATTTTAGGTCCAGTGACCCTTCCTCAGAACAGGCAGGCCAGGGTTCAATTTCCCAATGGTCGGGGAAATCTAAGCTTTGGGCATCACAGTGGCTCTGCGATTAGCACTGCTGCCTCACAATGCCAGGGTCCTGGGTTCAATTCTACCCTTAGGTGATTGTCTGTGTGGAATTTGCTCATTCTCCCCATTTCTGCATGGGTTTTCTCCAGGAGTTCTGGCTTCCACAGTCCAAAGATGTGCAGGCTAGGTGGATTGCCATACTGAATTGGCACAATAGTGTTCAGGGATGATTGGATTAGGTGTGCTTTAGGGGGATGGGTCTGGGTGGGATCGTCTGAGGGGCAGTATGGATGTTTTGGGCTGAAGGGCCAGTTTCCACACTGTAGGGATTCTATGTAATGTTCTCATAATTAATCCTGAAAATAATAAGCTGTCTTCAAATCTGTGTAGCTTTTAAAAGATTGATCTTCAAACCTGCTCTGATCAGTCAGAAATAAGGGGAGAGGAGGAGGCCAATCACTTCCTCAAGATCAATGTCATTCAATTAGATCATGGCTGTTTATCTCGCTGAATGCAATTTTATGCACCATCCACATATCCCTTGATATCTTTAAAATGGAGAAATCTATTTCTGACTTGAATGAACTACCACAGCCTCTGTGGTAGAGAATTCCAAGACTCGCCTCATTCTCAATGAGGAAATTCCTCCTTGTCTTAGTCTTAAATGGCCCAGCTGTGTCCCCTGATCTGGACTCACTCAACTAGGGGAATAATCATTCCTGCACCAACCCTGTCAAGCCACGTATAGTTTTGTTACTGTTCTCTGTGCAACTTCACGTGTCTTTCCATGTCTAGTATCCAGCAACAATTACTCATCCAAATCCCATATTAAACACGCAGGCTGGTTAAACTGAATTAAAAACGGAAAACTTGCTGATGAGAAAATGAAGCAATGGTTGGGGTGAGTCTCTGAAAGTCTTGTTATAAACCATTCCAGCAGCGCTTCTTGGCCCTAGAACGTAAATGTAAATTGATACTTCTCCAAATTAAAAGGAATTTACCAAAATCTGTCAGATGTGTTAATTGGATAGGTATAGACACTATTTCCTCTAGTGGGAGAATTGAGAATAAAGGGACATCATTTGGAGATGATGTGAAATCTTCATACAAGCAATTCTTCATACAAAGAATAGCAAAAATTGGGAATGAAAACAGAACATGTTGGAAAACACTCAGAAGTTCTGGCAATATATGTGCTGAAAGAAATATAGTTAATATTTCAGGTCTATGAATTTTCATCAGGGCTGGGAAATATAAGAAATGTAATAAGTTTTGAGTAGGTGTGGGTTAGACTAGTACAAAAAATGGCCTGTGACAAGTGAGAAGACAGGAAAGATTAAATGACAGAAAAATTCTTCCCTCAAGGCCACAAGCAACAGAGTTGGGGCCAGAAAAGAAACAAAGAAATAAACGGTGTGCCTGGAGCAGGTGTGCAGCTGACAAAGAAACAAACTGAAACAAGAGAAATGAAAACAATATAGAAGGAATGTTGGTCTCAATGGTGAGTCCAGAAAACTTTAAAATGCCGAATTGAAAGATGAGGTGCTTTCTTGAAGCTAATGTTGAGCATCACTGGAAGAATGCAGTGAGCCGAGTACAGAAACATTAGCATGAGAGTAAAATGGAGAATTAGAAATGTAAAAGCCCTGGCCACAACAGGTTGTGGATACTGAGAGCTAATTGAACATTTTAAAACTGAGATGTTAGATTTTTGTTAAGAGCTTAGCAAAGGTAAAGGTATATGAAATAAGGGTCAGTCCTGATTGAATTGAATGTTTGAGGATACTTTAGGGCCTGAATAGCCTCCTTCTGTTCCAAATGTTCCTCTGACACATTCAGAAATTCTTCATGTGCGGAAACAGGCCTTTTGGCCCAAAAAGTCCACACGAAACCTTAAAGCATCCCACCCAGACCCACCCCACTAATCTACACATCCCTGAACGCTATGGGCAATTTAGCATGGCCAATCCACCTAGCATGCACATCTTTGGACTGTGGGAGGAAACCGGCGCACCCAGAGGAAACCCACGCAGACACACGGAGAACGTGCAAACTCCACACAGACAGTCGCCCGAGGGTGGAATCAAACCTGGGTCCCTGGCGCTGAGGCAGCAGTGCTAACCACTGTGCCACCAATTCCTCAGGGTATTGGAAAGTTATTTACAAAAAATTCAAAGGGTACTCAAGATCTTTAATTTTTTTTCTTTATTCATTCACAGGATGAGTGTGTTGCTTTTAGGCAGCATTTAATGCCCATCCCAATTGCCCAGAGGGCAGTTGAGAGTCAACCGCTGTGGGTTTGGAGTAACATGTAGGCCAGACCAGGTAAGGATGGCGGTTTCCTTCCCTAAAGGACATCAGTGAACCAGACAAGTTTTTCCAGTAACTGGCAACGGATTCATGGTATCACTAGATTTTTAATTCCAGTTTTTTTTAAAACTGAATTCAAATTCCACCATCTGCCATGGCAGGATTCAAACCAAGAACATTATCTTTGTCTCTGGATTAATGGTCCAGCGATAATACCACTAGGCCATTGCCACCCCGTTAGAAAATTGGGTGTCAGAGAACAGTTAACATAGAAGCAAAATACTGCGGGTGCCAGAAATCTGAAGTATAATCAGTAAGTGTTGGAGGAACTCAGTACGTCAGACAGTCTCTGTGGCGAGAGAAGTGGAATTAACATTTCAAGTCCAGCATGACTCTTCTTCAGAACTTTGGACAAGTTAACATAGAGTTGCTTTGATGGCTCAGGACCATCCATGAAGAAGCTGCCAATCTGTCCCCTCCTTTGTCCTTTCCTCAGAGTTTTGATTATGATAATGGAATTGTTACATTGCAACAGAGGCCATTCAGCCCAATGTGTCCATGCCAATGATCGTCCTACCCCCTACTTTTGCCCTATAGTCTTGTACAATTTTTCTTTTTTGAAACATCTGCAATTCGATCAACCTCCTTCCTAAAGTGCAGTTGCCTGAATTGGACACAATGCTCCACTGGAGGGTGACCTGTGTCTGATACCGGTTCATCATAACTTCCTTGATTCCTTGCCTTTCTTCAGGAGTTGGGCATCACCCCTTTTCCTGCCTGATAGTGACATGACCATCTTTGAAAGAGCTGTCAGTTAGTGCCACTCTCCTCACCTCTCCCCTAACTCTTCTTTTAGAATAGAGATCTGATTAACTGCTGAATTTTTTTGTTGAATTTGCTGCCACCCTTTTCAGGCAGGCCATTACAGATCACAGTAACTGCCTGTACAAAATCTCTCTCTCCTACATTTCTGAAAATTATTTGATGTGACGTGCTCAATTGTTGAATATCTGCTAAAGGTATTTCCTGGGTGGATTGCAGGGACCATGCTCCTGACATCTTTGAGAAACTGAGGACACAACACAGTGTGTTTGAAACAAAGCTGATTTATTTGTTGTATTAAAATAATGACTTCCAGTCACATCAATGTCATTAACCTCAGAAAGAAAACAAAACCAAATTCTCTGAATTAATCTATTTCAGTCATGAATGTGATTAACTGCAGCAACAATAGCAGAATCCAATTCCCACCATCACTTATGAACTCATTGGTGTTTCAGTGGGTAAGGATGCCTGAGGGAATCCTTTTTCACACACAGAGCAGGTGAATGCGCTCTCCCCAGTGTAAACTCATTGGTTTCTCAGCAGGCTTTGTGTTGTCATGCACACAGCAAGTGATTGTCTTATTCCTCATTGTGAATGTGTTTGTGGCTCAGCAGATCACTGTTCTTAACACACTTCACATAGCCATAACATTGAAAACCTCTTTGATCAATGTGAACAAGTTGGTGTGAAGTGAAGCAGGTTAAACAAGTGATTCCTTCCCCAATGCAAACTCATTGGTATCTCAGCAGAGTTCATAACTTCGTGAAACTCTTTCCACATGTGAACACGCTGATGTTAAACAAGGGGCGGAGAACCAAGGAGAGCAATCCAACAGTCACTCCTCACTCTGAAATTACAGTTCAGCGTATCTCTGGTGCTTTAAAATATTCTAAGTATGAGACAAGCTTTAAAGTATTCTTTTTAATCCGTGTGAATCCGTTCATAGATTTACAGAAAGTTTACAGCACAGGAAGAGAACACTTCTCAATGTGTCTGCGCGGGCCAAAAAACAAACATCTACCCAGCCTCACCCACGTTCTGACATTGTGTCTGTAGCCCTACAGGTTCCAGCACTCGAGCTGCAGATCCAGACACCTTTTAAATGTGTTCAGGGTTTCTGCTTCCACTCCCCTTTCAGATAGTGACTTCCAGACCCTGACTACAGATGCTGCCAAACCTGCTGAAATTTTCCAGTAATTTCTGCTTTTGTTTCACCAATGATCTGGCTTATCACAAAGAGAAGTGCTTGCACTAGGAAACTGCTGAGGTCCTGGAAGAGGAGGGTCCTGTGATGACATACTTTGGAGAGAATATATCACTTCCAACAGTTCAAGAAGACAGCTCACCACTACCTTCTCAAGAACAATCAAGGATGAGCAATCAGTGTTGATCAGCAATGAAGGAGTGAAATAAAACAGCTGCTAATGGGGACTAATAGTCAAAGACAATGGGTTGTTTGTGATACCAGCCCATGTGATCACCAGGCCCAGTGTAAGGCCTGGTGTGTGGGGGTGGGGTAAGGACATGGGGAAAGGTACTCCAGCCTGAAAAGAGGAGATTATTTGCCCTATAGTCTGCATCAAATTGCAATGCTGAGCAGTCCCAAAGGGCTGAATGACCTACTCCAGTTGTTCTGTACATTCTACCCAGACTTTCCCCAAGGTCTGGTTTCCCGTTGTTGTGTCTGATCCCCAGCTCTGCCATGCCTTTCTGTTCATCAGTTGTATTTGGGTCCTGGTTTATTTGGAATATAGGAACAGGAAGGGGCCATTGAATCACTCAGATCTTTTCTATCAGAATTAGAATTAGCTATATTATCCCATGTACTCAAATAAATACAGTGAAACGCTAAATAAAAGCCAACAGAAATACGGATGCTGTCAATTAGAAACAAAAACAGAAGTTGCCGGAAAAGCTCAACAAGTCTGGCAGCATCTGTGAAGCAAAATCAGATCTAATGTTTTGGGTCTAGTGACCCTTAAGTGCACAAGTCGCCGCTTACAGCACCATCCTAGTACAAAGGTCCCCAAGTACAGCTTTCTCAGTTACAGTTTTTTGGAAGAATAGAGGTTAAAAAGCAAAGTCCAGCACTGCAGATTATAGGAATAAATTATAAAATGGAGAAAAAAGTTCAGAACAACGGTCTTCCGACGCAGTCCATGCTGGCACTCAGCCTCCAGTCTGCACTGGGTCTTGACTCCAGACATCACCTGGCTTCAGCTCAGGGTTCATAAGGCCAGGAGAATGTTCTGGAATCACCTGGAGATGGAAGTTCACGCCGAAGCCATGCTGGGCCAGCAGACTGCCATAACACGCCAAGAGGACCCTCGTCGGGTCTGTGCTGAGGCTGAGAGTTCCAAGGCTGCAACTCGGAGGCCGTGAGATCCAAGGCCAAGAGTTCTGAAGCCAGGAGTTCAGAAGTCGTGAGGTCCGAGGCTGGAATTTTGAAGGCCAGGAGTTCGGAAGCTTTAAGAGAGAAGAGGATGATAAAAAAAAATACAAAAGAGAAAAAAAAAATGAATCATTTATTGAGGGTCATATCTGATCTGTGACTCAACTCCATTTACCTGTGTATTTATTTTAATACTGGCTTTCCCAGTCTGTCACAATTTGATTTAAAGAGAACTTCCATTGACATCACACCTTCTGTTAGGCAAGTGTCCCAAGATACACCTCAGAAACATAAACGTACAAATCTGACCAAATTAATGCTGTGTCATAGGGGATCTTAGGAGGCCTGACAAAAGCTTCGTTGAAGATATAGGTCATTAGGTTTTGAAAAGCGGAGAGATGTGGACTGGAAGGGAGGGGAATTCCTCTTCATTGTCAGTTTTTTAAAAATCCATTTGTGGAATATGGCTGTAACTAGCAAGGCCAGCATGTGTTGCCCTGGAGAAGGTGGTAGTGAGCTGCTTTCTTGAACTGCAATTGTCGTTGCTGTTAGGGAGGGAGTTCTGGGATTTTTGACCCAGGGACACTGAAAGAGCAGCAATATTTCTCCAAGACAGGATGGTGTGTATCTTGGAGGTGAACTTGCAGCTGGTGGCATCTCTCCTGTAGCTGCTGACCTTTTCCTTCTAGTGGGGGAGGTCATGAGTTTGGAAGATGCAGTTGGAGGTGCCTTGAAGTGTAACTGCAGGAACGAAAGGAAAGGGAGGTAGCTTTGAAATGACCTTGGCTGTTCATCATGCCCCTCATGATTGTACAAACTTCTATAAGGTCAATCCTCAGCCTTCAACAGTGTGGGGAAAATAACCCCAGCCTTTTCAGCCTCTCCTTATACCCAGCAACCCTCCAACCCCAGCAACATCCTTGTAATTTTTTTTCTGCACCCTTTGCAGTTTAATAGCATCTTTCCTAAAACAGGGAGACTAGAATTGAACACAGTAATCCAAAAGTGGCCTAACCAACGTGCTGCAGAGCCACAACAAGACACCTGATTACTACATTTAATGCACTGACTAATAAAGACAAGCATACTAAACACTTCTTCACTACCCTGTCTACCTGCGACTCCACTTTCAAAGGAGTTATGAACCTGCACTCCAAGGCCTCTTTGTTCAACAACATGCCCCAGGACCTTATCATTAAGTGTGTAAGTCCTGCCTGATTTGCCTTTCTGAAATGCAGCATTTCACATTTATCTAAATTAAACTCCATCTGTCACTCCTCGGCCCAGCAAACCATCTGATCAAGATCCCATTGTAGTCTGAGGTAACCGTCTTCACTGTCCACTACACCTCCAATTTTGCTTTCATCTGCAAACTTATTAATCATATCTCCTGCATTCACGTCCAAATAATTTATATAAGTGACAAAAATCAGCGAACCCATCACCAACCCCTGCGGCACACTGCTGGTCACAGGCTTTCAGTCTGAGAAACAACCCTACACCACCACCCTCTATCTCCTACCTTCAAGCCAATTTTGTATCCAAATGGTTAGCTCTCCCAATATTCCAAGTGATCTAACCTTGTGGATCAGTTTACCATATGGAACCTTGTCGAATGTCTTGCTGAACTACATCTATACAACATCCACCATTCTGCCTTCATGATTCTTTCCTGTCACTTCTTCAAAAACAAACTCAGTCAAGTTAGTGAGACTCGATTTCCCACACAAAACCACGTTGACTATCTGTAATCAATTCTTGCCTTTCCAAGTACATGGAGATCCTGTCCCTCAGAATTCCCTCCAACAACTTGGCCACCACTGATTTCAGGCTCACTGGTCTGTAGTTCCCTGGCTTGTCCTTATGACCTTTCTTAAATAATGACACCACATTAGCCACCCTCCAGTCTTGCAGCACCTCACCCACGCTATCAATGATAAAAAGATCTCAGCAAGGGGACCAGCAATCATTTCACTGGCTTCCCACATAGTTCTATGATACACCCGATCACATCCCGGGGATTTATCCACCTTTATGCGTTTTAAGATGTTCAGCACTTCCTCCTCTGTAACATGGACACTTTTCAAGATATCACTGTTTATTCTGCAAGTTCTCTAGCCTCTTCACAGTTAATACTGATGCAAAATACTCATTTAGTATCTCACCCATTCCTGCAGTTCCACACATAGGCAGCCTTGTTGATCTTTAAGGGACCCTATTCTCTCCCTTGTTACTCTTTTGTCCTTAATGTGTTTGTGGAATCTCTTTGGAGTCTCCTTAACCCTATTTGCCAAAGGTTTCTCATGTCCTCTTGCTACCTTCCTAACTTCCCTCTTGAGTGTACTTGTACTGCTGTTTTACTCCTGAAGTGATTCACTCAATCTCAGCCGTCTATCCCTACCACATGCCTCCTCCTTTTTCTTGACTAGAGCCTCAATTTCTTTAGTCATCCATCATTCCCTGCATCTATCAGCCTCACACTTACAGGTACATACTGCCTCTGGACTCTCGTTATCTTATTTTTGAAGGCCTCCCACTTTGCAACCATCCCTTTACGTGTGAATTATCTGTCCCAATCAATGTTTGAAAGTTCTTGCCTAATACTGTCAAAATTGGTCGTCCACTAATTTAGAACTTGAACTTTTAGATCAGCTCTATCCTTTTCCGTAACTAGTGGAAAGGATGTGATTACTGGATATTTAGAAAATAAATGTCTGATTGGACAGAAGAGACAGATTTATTAAGGGGAAGTTATGTTTGAGAAACCTGATGGGTGTTTTTTTAGGATGTTGCCAGCAGAATTAAGAAGTGGGAACCAGTGAGTGTGGAGTATTTAGACTTTCAGAAGGCTTTTGACAACATTTCACACAGGAGACTAATAGAATGAAACTGAATTGAATTGAGAGCAATATACTAGGATGGACTGAAGACAGGTTAATAGGCAGAATGCAGAGTCAGAATAAATTGGTATACTGTGACCAATGGCTTACTTGCTAATGGCTTAGCTGATTCAGGAACTCTGAAGAAATCTTTACTATCCAGAGTAAACAACAAAATGTGTTTTCACGACAGCTGTAAAACAGTGAGTAACAAACATTAGTACTGTGTGGATTCAAGCATGGTTTTGAAACAACTTTGTTTGTTTAACCTTTCTTACAACAAAATACTTAATTTTTTTCAAACATAACTCACTACATTATACTTGACTTTCCTTTCAAAATTATTCCAAATTCAAATGACAACAAAAGACTCCAAGGTTTTGGTTGTATACAGCCTCAGCAGTATTGTTGGGCTAACAGGTTTCATTAATGGTCAATTGTTTGTTTGGTAATAAATTAATCTATCCCATTTTATTCTGAAGCAAATTAAAACTACCTCGACTGTATCCATTGGCTCTTATTTTAAATTAAAGTTAAGAGATTTAAATGCATCTTCCCTTCAAAATTCCATTGAATTTTCCATTGTGCGCTTGAACTAGCAACTTACAGCAAGTAACTTTATCAATCCCAATTTCAGAAACAATTATGTCTAGCCTCAGTGGTTTTAAATTGTGCTCTTATACTAAAGCTTCAAATGACTGTAGTCAGTTCAGGATTCACCTGTTTTCAAAGACTCCACAAGACTTCAAGCTCCCTCGCTGTGTTCTTGCAATCTATTCAAAATATTTAAAAAAACACAATCCACTATGGCTCTGGAAGAAGTCTAATGCATTAATCATATTCAAATAACACAATCCACCCCACAGAAGGAGAGAGAGAAAATTTAAACAGTCAGCACTAAAAGTGCATTCTGCTGGGCTCAGATGGGGCACGGCCCGTCACCAGGCGATACCATGGCGTACTTTCAAGTATTCAGTTTAAAAAGACTATCAACAGTCTCAAGATAATCTCCAAGAGGCATTTTACTTTCTATTTTCTATTCTAATTTATATTCTATTAAATATTTAATATTCTATTCCAAATTTGGAGTTCACATTGGATGTCTTCCAAAAAGTTTATCAATATTTTGAGAACAAGCTAAACGATTTTTTTTATTCCCATGTGTTTTCTACAGTGGCTTAAAAAAGGACAACTTTGAAGACTTACAATTAAATAGGATTTTAAGATCTTGAAACTATTCCGACTGGGGTTGGGGGGAGACAAGTCCTGGACAGAGGCCAACGCATGGAGGCAGCAAGGCCACGAGGTCTGAAGCCCAGTGGGCACGGACTCGGCCAAAAAGGACTATAACTTGAGTACTTAGGGATATCTTTATTATCATTCTGAACTTCTTAAACTCTGTATTCCCATGCTAGTCTTTTTTTAAAAAATATTTCAATTCTGTAACAGCACATAAAGTATCTGTACATAGGTATCCTGTACATAAGATGGTGCTGACAGGCGACATTACAAACTTTTCGCTGCACTCTTTCGAGTGCACATGGCAATAAAGGCTAGTCTATTCTTTTGGACTACTCCTTGTTTTAATTGATTTCAGTCAAATATAAGGAATGCTTTCATTGTCACTGTCATGGGAACTCTGTGTGAACACAATCCAGTTTTCACAGAGGGCTTCTTTAACTTCACTGGGGGAAAGGGACTTTTTAATCGTGTCCATTAACTGTGCTTCAGGGTCCTAATCCTTTGCCTGTGCCTTGCAGCTCCTGGGTGACATTACACATTTATGTTGTCTCACGACACAACGATGGAACAGTTAGGGAAACATTGGCAGCTACATTCTCAAGGTTACCTGTCTTGTCTTGCAAAATAACTGCCCTCGCTGCTGTCTGTTCTATCTGACATGATTTAATTTTTGTCACTGGATAATTCTTTTCAAACAAAAATTACTTGTCCAAAATTCCCACCTTCCCCATTTTACAGCACAAATTCATGCCAAATAACATTTAGGATGAGGAAATCTTATCATCCAGAATTGAAGATTTACTTAAATACTCCAATAATATTTGGAAGTTTACTCTGGCCAGAAAATGAAATTACAAACACAATCACAAAGGTTTTGAAATTCACCATTTATCCAGGACTCTTTCCTCAAACTGAATACAACACCGAATGTGCAGCATTTTGAGAAAACATGTTATTCCATTTAACATATTTGCCTTCCTCCAATTAGTCTCATATGACTGATTTTCACCACGAGTTACAGACTGGAATCTAATTGAGGGCTTTGGTGTGGCTTATTTATTTGGTAACATGCACTCAGGAGTGCGTTACAAACTGAATCTAATCGAGGGGTCTGAGGTAATTATATATAGAATAACTGATACCTGGGAGTGAGTTGCAGACTGGAAGCTAATCAAAATCACACTCGGTTGAATGCAGCCTTGATATCAAGGGCTATCACTCTCAACTCACCTCTAGAATTCAGCTCTTTTGTCCATGTTTGAAACAAGACTGGAAAGAGGTCAGGAGCTGAGTGGCCCTGGCAGAACCCAAACTGGGTGTCACTGAGCAGGTGCTACTCAATAGCACTGGTGATGACGTGTTCCATCACTTTACTGATGCTCGACAGTATACTGTTAGGGAAATTAATGGCTGGGTTAGATTTGTCCTGCTATTTGTGTGCAGGACATATCCTGGCAATTTTCCAGATTGTTGGGTAGATGGCAATGTTGTGACTGTATTGGAAGAGCTGAGCATATGGGAAAACTGACTGCATTTCTTGTCATTCTCAGAGCAGGTGAATGGCCTCTCCTTAGTGTGAACTCACTGATGTGTCAGCAGGTGAACAGACTGAGTGAATCCTTTTCCACACTCTTGCCAGTATGAATTTGATATATCAGCAGGCTGTGGGACTATGTGAATATCTTCCCATGCTCTGAGCAGGTAAACAATTTCTCTCCAGTGTGAACTCACTGGTGTCCCAGCAAGTTTGATGTACGAACAAATCCCTTCCCTCACACAGGACAGATAAACAGCCTCTCATCACTGTGAACTTGTTGCTGTGCAGTAAGGTTGACTGACTGCCCAAAACTCTTTCCACAAGAGCAGCAGCTAAACAGTTTCTTCTCAGGTGTTTCTGGAGGCTGGATAACACTTTGAATTCCTTCCCACATGTACAACAGGTAAACAGCCTCTCTCGAGCGTGACTGCATTGATGAATTTCAAACTGGGATGAGTAATTAAATCTCTTCCCCACTCTCCACATTTCCATGTTTTCCTCATGGTGTTAGTGTCCTCATGCCTGTCCAGGATGATTGATTAATGCAAGTATCATCCACACACAAATTTATGGATGATTGTTTCTTTTCACATTTATATCTTCTCCCAAAAATCCTGTGAGGCAGTTTTACAAAAGTCATTCCTGTCAGTTCAGATTGGAAATTCTGAATAGATAATTCCAGTTTCTCTGGAACATGGCCTCCTTTTGTTCACTAAAGTTGAAAATTCCTGTCCCAGCAGAGGGTGGCGTTGTCTCAATGTAACTGGACTAGTCATCCATTACTGAATAAAAACCAAAAGAACTGCAGATGCTGTAAATCAGGAACAAAAACAAAGCTGCTGGAAAAGCTCAGCAGGTCTGGCAGCATCTGTGAAGGAAAACAGAGTTAACGTTTCGGGTCCGGTGACCCTTGCTCACAATTGATATTGGCTGGGTAAACGTCAGTTTATATGCAGAAAATAGAGAGGTGGGTGGGGTAGGGAGTAAAGGATAGAGCCCCAAAGAGAGAGAAAGATATTTGAACAGACAAAACACTTGCTAACGATCAGGCTGGGAGAGTGAGTAGTTGTTAATGGGGACTGTTAGTGACAAACAACTCGGGGTGTGTGATGGCAGGCTATGTGGTTACAAGGCCTGGTGTGTGGGACAGGGGGCTGGGACATGGGAGAGTTTAGGCTCTAAGATTATTGAACTCAATATTGAGTCCGGAGGGCTGTAGGGTCCCAAGCGGAAAATGAGGTGTTGTTCCTCCAGCTTGCGTTGGGCTTCGCTGGAACACTGCAGCAAGCCAGAGACAGAGATGTTGGCCAGGGAGCAGGGTGGTGATTAAAGTGGCAGGCAAAAGGTAGTTCAAGGTCTTTTTTGCGAGCAGAACGTAGATGTTCTGCGAAGCGGTCGCCAAGTCGACACTTCGTTTCCCCAATGTAGAGGAGACCACATTGTGAGCAGCGAATGCAGTAGACTAGATTCTGGGAAGTGCAGGTGAAGTGTTGCTTCACCTGGAAGGTATGTTTGGGCCCTTGGATACTGGGGAGGGAGGAGGTAAATGGGCAGGTGTTGCACCTTTGCCGGTTACAGGGGAAGGTGCCATAGGGCTGTGGGGATGTGTTGGGGGTGAAGGAGGTGTGGACCAGGATGTCCCAGAGGGAACGGTCCCTGCGGAAGGCAGACAAAGGAGGGGAGAGGAATGTGTGTCTGGTGGTGGCATCTCGCTGGAGGTGGCGGAAATAGCATCTGATGATGTTCTGAATGTGGATGCTGGTGGGATGGTAGGTGAGGATAAGGGGAACCCTATCGCTGTTGCGGGAGACTTCAACACGGGAGCCTCCAAAATGTCCACCTTTTTCCTTAGCCGAGGATTCCCCAGCTCTGTAGTTCACAGGGCCATCATTCAGGTCCGACCCATCTCCCACACTTCCGCCCTCACCCCTTCTCTTCCCTCCCGCAACAACGATAGGGTTCTCCTTATCCTCACCTACCATCTCACCAGCATCCACATTCATTAGATCATCAGATGCCATTTCCACCACCTCCAGCGAGATGCCACCACCAGATACACATTCCTCTCCCCTCCCTTGTCTGCCTTCCGCAGGGACTGTTCCCTCTGGGACACCCTGGTCCACACCTCCTTCACCCCCAACACATCCCCACAGCCCTACGGCACCTTCCCCTGTAACCGGCAAAGGTGCTACACCTGCCCATTTACCTCCTCCCTCCCCAGTATCCAAGGGCCCAAACATTCCTTCCAGGTGAAGCAACATTTCACCTGCACTTCCCAGAATCTAGTCTACTGCATTCGCTGCTCACAATGTGGTCTCCTCTACATTGGGGAAACGAAGTGTCGACTTGGCGACCGCTTCACAGAACATCTACGTTCTGCTCGCAAAAAAGACCTTGAATTACCTGTTGCCTGCCACTTTAACGCACCACCCTGCTCCCTGGCCAACATCTCTGTCTCTGGCTTGCTGCAGTGTTCCAGCGAAGCCCAACGCAAGCTGGAGGAACAACACCTCATTTTCCGCTTGGGGAACCTACAGCCCTCCGGACTCAATATTGAGTTCAATAATCTTAGAGCCTAAACTCTCCCATGTCCCAGCCCCCTGTCCCACACACCAGGCCTTGTAACCACATAGCCTGCCATCACACACCCCCAGTTGTTTGTCACTAACAGTCCCCATTAACAACTACTCACTCTCCCAGCCTGATCGTTAGCAACACTTTTTTTTTCTGTCCAACTGTCCTTATCTCTGGGCTCTATCCTATCGTTTACTCCCTACCCCACCCACCTCTCTATTTTCTGCATATAAACTGACATTTTCTCAGCCACTATCAGCTCTGAGGAAGTGTCACCGGACCCGAAACATTAACTCAAGTGTTTTCCTTCACAGATGCTGCCAGACCTGCTGAGCTTTTCCAGCAGCTTTGTTTTTGTTGTTGTTAGTCATCCATTACCCCAGGCTATTGTCTTGGTGAGGTGTGTTCAAATCCCAGCAGGCCAGATAAGGGTGAAAATTTAAGTCATTAAAAAGCTGGACTCTCTGTCAATTATCATGCGACCCCAACGCACTCACTGTTGTACTTTCGGAAGGGACAGCTGCCGCCTTTCCCCAGTCTGACCGACTGTGGCTGCAAACCCACAACAATGTGGTTGACTCTTTACCACCCTCTGGACAATGAGGAATATCCCGAAGCAGGGTCTCGGCCCGAAACGTCAGCTTTCCTACTCCTCTGATGCTGTTTGGCCTGCTGTGTTCATCCAGCTCTACACCTTGTTATCTCTGCCTTCATACCATATTTTCTTTTTGTGAAAAACCTCACCCTCCTTCCCGAACTGAAATACAAATGATCTCTGGGTCAATTCTTCTCCTTTTAAAAAATTTGTACAACTCCAAATGCACATTGGGATCTGATCTTCATACCCGCTCTACACATGCTTCGGCTTCGGGTTGATTGACGGCATTGTATGGCCAATAGAAAGAGGGGCGGCCCGGTTACCTTTCCGGGCGTGGCTGGGCCTCGAACCAATCAGAATTACTAAAAGACAGGCGTTTACGGAACATGCGCAGTATGGGTACCTGAGTCGGAAGGAGGCTGTGGGCTGAAAGTGTGAGGCGGAGCTAGAGAGAGGGACCGGTGGTTTCTGGAACAACGTGGTGGAGCTCCGAGAAACTCCTTTTACATGGGGTTAGAGTGAAAGGATTTTTACACACAGCAACCTCAAACCAAGAGCAACGTTTGTCTTTCCTGTACTGAGAAGGTGAGGGCTTCAGAGCGCCTGGTTATTGAAGACTAAAGGTCAGCGAGCTGGAGTTTACATTCTCTCTCTCCACAGATACTGCCTGAGCTGTTGAGGATTTGCAGCATTTTCACTTTCTTGCGGAAAATCCCGCTACCGCATAATTTTGTGTCTGTTGTAGGGATTGCTCCCAGAACCTAGTCTCGAACCTCGGGTAGACCAGTTAAAAGGTTGCTTTACATCAGGGTGGCTGTTGGATGCGGAAGTTGGTGCCTCGCCTCCCGCATGGCTCACTTTTTAGTATTTTATTTTCAGCCGGAGACCGGTTGCAGTAACTTCCGCTGTGAGGCCATCACGAGAAATATTCCCAGGCAAAGTTGCTAAACTGAAGGAGTCTGTTCAAAGTTCATGAGTTTAAGAATAGTTTTAATCTAAGTTACATCTAACTTTATTGCTGGGACATAAGCAAGGCTAAAAAGGCCAGCATTCACTGCTGTGATAGATCTCCCACAGTGCTGATCAGTGAGGAGTTACAGAATTGTCAAGCAGCAGCTATAAAGAAACAGTGAAATGTATCCAAAAGAAGACACTGTGCGCCTGGGAGCAGAGTTGAGGTGATAGTTTTCCCCATATACGCTTGCCTTGATTTTTCTGGAGGGATGCTGTTTCTGTGATGTTGATGGAGGAAACCATATCCTTAAGTATCTCATTGCTCTCGCTGTCTGTCCTCCCATTGAGCTCTGAGTCTTGTGGAGGCCCAGGGCAAGCTGTGGGTCCCCTTCCTTGGAGGACTTTGTGAACTCGTTGGGCTTTTATGATAATCCAGTAACTTTTCATTGTCATTGTTTCTGAACGTCTTTCAAAGTATCCAGATTCAATATACTCCCTTTCACAACATCTGCTTAGTGTCTTAAAGAGTTTTGTTTCTCATACTCATCTTTTGATTTAAATTGATTTTACAGAGAATCAAACAGGCACGTTTATCAGCAAGAATTCCAAATAAACATGCCATCAAGATCTGAGAGTGAGTCAAATCATCAGGACTTCAAAACCTTTGGATTGTCAATATTAATCTTTTCTGGGAAATCTTTTCCCACGTCGGGTGACAGGAAATGCATCAAGATACATCCACTGAAGTGAGTGTTCCAGTGAACTGACTGTGGACAGGTCTTGAACCAGTTACACAGCCTGAATAACATCACACCATTCACAGTGGGGAGAAACTGTATCTGTGTCCTGTGTGTATGAGTGAGAAGTCCTTTAATCATCCAATATGGACAGACATGAGGACATCTTCACCACGGAGAAACTGTGGGAAAGGATTCAAATACCATCCGAGCAGGAAAACCATCAACGCAGTCACACCAGCGAGAGGCTGTTCACCTGCTACTAGAGAGAGGCCGTTCACCTGCTCTGTGTGTGGGAAGGGATTCGCTCGGTTATCTTACCTTCGGAAACATAAACACATTCACACTGGGTAGAGACGATTCATTTGACCTGAGTGTGGACGAGGATTTGGTGCCTCAGCCACCCTTTCGAATCATCGGCGAGTGCACAGTGGGGAGAAGCCATTCATCTGCACGGAGTGTGGGAAGGGATTTCACTTGGTCAGCCAACCTACTGGCACACCAGCGGGTTCATAGTGAGGAGAGGTCATTCACCTGTCCTGAAGGTGGGAAGGGATTCACTCGATCTGCTGAAACACCAACGAATTCACACTGGGGAGAAACCATTCACCTGCCTCGAGTGTGGGAAAGGATTCAGTGAATCATCCCACCTGCTGAAACACCAGCGTGTTCACACTGGGGAGAGGCTATTCTCCTGCTAGGAATGTGGCAAGGCATTCACTCTGTCATCCCAATTTAAGGGCTATCAACTGGTTCACGCTGATGAAAGACCTTTCAAATCTTCATACTGTGAGAAGACCTTTAAACGCAGATATGACATGCAGATGCACCAAAGCTGTCACACTAGGGAGAGGCCATTCTCCAGCTCTGTGTGTCAAAAATAATTTGTCCATTCACAAAACTTTGAGACACCAGTGAATACACAGTGGTGAGAAATTGTTAGCTGCTCCCTCTGTGGGAAAGGATTTACTCAGTCATCCCAACTGCTGGGACACCAGCGAGTTCACAAATGACAGCAGATTCTTACTAAACCTTTTTGATCCACCCCGCTGGAGGACCAGGAAGCAGATGCGGTGGAACACTGGAAATATGTGGTGCTTGTGACGTGACAGGGGGAGGCCAGCAGAAATTGGCATTGTATCACTTTGAACACCAGAGAGAGACTGTGACTTCGATTTATCATATTTGAATTATTCATTTTGAAGTGTGTCCCATTGCAGGCAGAGCTTGGTGCACACACTGATCTACAGAGGCACAAAACCAGACTCATGGACGTACACAGAGACTTTGTGTGGAGTTTGCACATCCTCCCCATGTCTGTGGGATTCCTTGCACAGTCCGAAGATGTGCAGGTTAGGTGAATTGGCACTGGGAAATGCAGAGTTATAGCAATTGGGTATGGGTGTGGGTCTAGGTAGGTTGCTGTTTGGAGGGCCAATGTGAACTTTATGGGGCAAGTGGCCTGCTTTCAGACTGTAGGGATTCTAAGACTTACACTTCTCTGGAACAGGGGTGTACTATTGTAGACAGAGCAGGTCACATGGACACAAACACATCCACATACAGCTTTGTCTGTGAATATAGAGATACACAGACATGATGTCACTTTATATCATCAGGGTTGATGCATTTAATAAACTCAGGTTCATTTGTACAATAGATCTATGTAATCACTGTTTGTCAAATGGATT